GCCACATTCTGCCTAGTAAATGGAATTAAATAGCCTAAAATCTTGGGAAAAGAGGTGAAAATATCAAGAGAAAATGTGCAAGATTTTTAGCACAAAGCAGTTAAATGTTTGAAGAATTGGTGATTAAAAGACAAACGTCAAATAAATGCACAAGAAGTTAACATATATGTTCATTAATGATGAACAAGGTTACAAAGGGAAAGTCAAATGCGAAATTACAAAAGGAAAAGTTAAGGCGTCATATGTCTTAATTACAATCCACCCCATACTGAACGAATTCGTTCCCTAAGCTTTTCTCAATCCTCGTTCTGCCGAGAGGAAGTGATGTTCAATTCGGCCACGACATCATCATCAACTTCTAACTTCTTATACTGCTCGACCAAAGACTTAGTTCGCTCTATTCCCTGGGCGGCGTTACGCTTTTTAGCAGCCATTCTCGCCTTACAGTCATCCATTTTGGCTTGAAGTTCCTTCATCTGAGCAGCCAAACTAACCATCAAAGAGTCTTCAATCATGACTTCGGAAGAGATTTCTTTCAACTCGTCCTCAGCCTTGTTGATCTCCAGACGCAAAGACTCTTTTTCAGATACGGCACGAAGATATTGAGTACCTTTTGCCTTCAGTTCAGCATTCTTGGCCAACAAAGAGAGGACCTCGGAGTGGATAACTTTCAACGTCGCTTTAAAATCGACAGAAGGATTGAGCGACGGAAGTGTCAGTGCTTGCTCCAACTTCGCATTCAAATGCTCAAGCTTATCCTTATGTCTGGCAGCACTAGCCTTACCAATGTCTATATCCATGAAGGACACGTACTCAAATATCGACTGATTGAGAAACTTCAAATCTTCCTCTGAAGAAGCAGCAGGATGACCAGATGGAGTAGGGCGAGATGCCTTGACTTGCCAGGAAGCGAACAAGTCTTGGATGGAACGCACAATCTTGTCAGCATCCTGCAAAGAAAATTGCCAATATTGAAGATTCTCACTACAACGAACAAGATGGAAATAAAAGTGAAGCAAAGATTACCTCATCAATAATCGTGGAAGATGGCATATCCCCGGCCAAGTCTGCCACCTGTGACCCCACCATTCGTGAGGACTTCCCCTTATCTGAGCGAGAAGATGTTGCCACAACGGGCAGACTCATAGGAGCATCTGCAAAACTCAAAAACAACAAATCAGAAACCAATAGCACAAGCAAAGGTAAAACATCAAAAAACTGAATTACCTTCTGCTTCGATGTTTGGAGGTTGACGCCCTGGGAAGAAGGTGGCTCATCCATTGGTTGTGATGAGAATTCTAGGACTGAAGATGTCTCTTTAAGCGTAGTCCCTTCATCAGCTGGTTTGGATGAAGCAGCCTTAACGGAGGATGATGGAGCAGGAGCTGCCGATACCAAAGCCTTTAAAGGAGAGGCTGAACTTTTCTGAGAAGTCCAAATAAATCATCAGCACACAGAAAAGTTTCAAATATGGAAAAGTATGCTTGTGAGTAAACCAATTTAATTACGTTCCTCCTGATGATAAGAGGGGTATCATCAACATCATCCTCCAAAATGGGAGATGCTGAGGCTGACCGTTTGCGGCTTGGGGCACTCTTGGCTACAGTAGGCTTGGCAGGGAGAGAAGAAGATGGACGAGCAGACTGTTTAGCGCGACGAGGAGGAGAAAGACTCCGGATGGACAAAAGAGTGACTAAAATAGGAGGAGGGGAAGAAATGCTCGACTGTCCAGTGAATGAAAGGCACGATTGGCATCAGTCGCAAACAATCTGCGCTTCACTGACGGCCAGAGCTGTTCAAAAAGGGGATGGATGGCATGACTAGAATTGAAAGGGGCTCATGAAAAATAGTTTGTTAAAAGAAGATTGCGAGCATTTATAACCTCTGCCTCCACCTTATTAATAATATGGAAGCGGTCAATCAAGTTCCTTGAATAGCAAGGAGGAACAGGTCAGGTTTGGCCGAAATCAAGTTGGCGAGCAAAAAATTGGGGAGCATATATTTCTACCTCTGCCTTGGCATTGGTCCCAGTCAAAATATCATGAAATAACTCCCTCCTGGTCAAAAACTGGATCCAAATGAGCAGAGAGGTGCTCGCGCTGTCTATAGTAGAGGAAGGATGCACATAATCTCGAGTCAAAAAGATAGGGAAAGGAAAGAATGAAGGGACTGAATCCAAAAATAAAAGAGTGAAAAAATGTCCCTTCTAGACATATTTACAGGAGCCAGTGGCTCAATAGCTAGCCCATAACAGCTAGCAGAAGGACGAGAAATTGATGGAGTACCAAGCAATGAAAAATAGGATTTCAATCACATTTGAGTGAACCAAAGAGGTCCACTGCTAATGGGAGATGCACCATTCTTCAATTGAGTTTGAAGAGAAGCCATACCTCTATAGAGGGCAGCCAAAAAGAAAGAACATAAATTCAGAGGCCTGCCACGCGCTAATTCGTGCACTATGGGTAAATAGCTCAGGGAGGGCTTTATGCTTGGCACACACAAAACATATTTACAAAGCCAAACCAGAAGAAAGGCCACTCGCTCAGTATGGGAAGGCTCAGCGCTCGAATGGTTATGAAGGGCTTGCAGGCTTGAATAAGACTCGGTGTAGTTTCTACCAAACTTTGGGGCGCCACCAGAAACCAAGATACCAGGAAAAATGGTATCGCCCAAAGGTGGTAGATTCACTAGGGCCCCAACATCCCTTAAAGTAATAGACATGGGGCCAAGAGGGAAAATAAAGGTATTATACTCAGAAGACCAAAAACTCAAAATGATCGAAAAAAGTGCTGAATCAAAAGTAGGGGGTTGAATAGAGATTTTTAACAAATCAGAAATCCTAGCATTATCAAAAAGTGCCTTAGTAAGACCATGGTCCACAAGGCGAGCATGCCACCTACGAAAAACTACATCAGATTTAGGCCAAGTGCGAATACCTCTTTCGCGAAGTGGCCACAGCGACAGAGAGTTTAGAAATGGAGGGCCTTGAATACAAGGAAACAGCTGGCCCACCGCCACCTGTTCGACTGCCTCTGCATTGTTGAAGAAAAGACCTAGGTAGAACTCATTGAATTTGACATTGGCAGGCGCGAGAAAAGTCGGAGTTATGTATGAACGACTCAGAAGTTTCTGAAAGTCATCAAAACTAAAGGAGTCGCCAGATTGAGATTGTGAAGTAGCCATTAAGGATGAAACGGAGTTTTTTCAGAGTTACGTAGCAGAGAAGCAAAAAGATGAACAGTAAGTCGTGGGAGAGAAACGCGAAAAAGTGAGGCGTGATTTAATGGTGCAGTGAAATGGCGTGTTTGGGGGTTATAAGGGTTTGCAAAATGTCGCACATTTTCAAGCTATGGAAGAAAACAATGATTGGAATTCTTGGGAATTTCGAATGCTGCTAGAAACACAAAGTGAATATGGCAAAATTTAATAATTTGTATTAATTCTGCCATATTGGGGGGTAATTGTTGACACATAAAAATTCAACCCAAATCGAACGGTCCAAGGAATGAAGTCCAATTGGAGGATCCCCAAATCAGATAGCCCAAAAGACGAAACACAATCAAACAATTCAAGATGATGGCCCAAATGGGGAGGCCCAAGAACGCGGTAACACCATCGCCCAAATTTGCAAGTCGCCCAGAATCTGAGCGAATGGAGTGTCATGCAGTCGCCCAGAACTGTTACTCTATTCTCGCCCAAACCTTCGAGTCGCCCAAGGTCTTAGCAAACATAAAGTGTTGTGGTTATCAAGAAGTGCAGTTATCAAAGCAGTTATTAAAGCAGCCCTATCACGTTCCACGATTCAAGGAACCTAATTGAAGACGGTTGAACGACAAAGAGTAATGGCAGCAGTTAGAAAAGGTAGTTCCATAACAAGTTGGCCATTACGAGGAAAATGGGCAGTTATAAAACGATCCAGCAGTTTTTAGGCGATTGATCACAAAGAGATCATCCAGGAAGTATAAAAGGAAGGAAGGACATAGAGCAAAAGGACCGAATCAAAAACTCTCGAACGGAGAACATGTAATTTTAAATTTCTTAGCTTAGATTTAAACACTTCTTTCAGTAACTCGTGTGCTTGCGCCCCTTGGAGGCATTCTGTTTTTAATTTCCGATTGTAAAGTCACTGCCAATAAAGAACACCCCCTTTTTGAGACTGTCTCAAAAGGTTTGTCCCTTACACAATCGTCTGATCCCTTTTAATTGTTAGCGACTAACCCGCGCGAAACACATACTAAAATAAATTTTATTTATTTATTTATTTGTGTATATTTTTTGCAGGAAGAGAGCAGCAATAGAGAAGTCTTGACCATTGTAGCATGTGTGCGGCTAAGGGACAAGGCCCAATTCAGACACGCTCCCAAGTGGATATAAATGAACCATTCTCGCTTGGGCCAGGCCTAACAAATGCCAGGCACGGATCTGGGTGTGCAAAACTCTTCAGGCCTAGCCTTGGTTTGAATATCAATTTATAAATGATTTATAATTTCGGTCAAAGTCAAATATTAATTTCATTAACAACTACGCATTTTTATTCAAATATTTCATGAGATTTGACACAAGCTTTTATCATAGATTCTGCCTTCCTTTCAAGATAGATATTGTGGATTCGTCTATTCTTTTACCACCTTGGTTCACAGAGGAAGATCTCGAGGCATGTGGTTCTCTATATGCTAAATCGGGTTTCAAAACTGCATTGCAAGTTCCATTTAGGTAATTCCTTGCTTCTTTTCTCAAATCTCCAAAGACGTAAGCACATTCTTTCCTCGACTTCTCCAAAGTCCCAAATAAAAATACAACAGTCAGTGAAGAGTTCAGCAAAGCAAATTGGAAAGTTAAAGCTCCAGAGCTACTGATCATGGGTATGAAGGATTATGTCTTAAATTTCCCAGACATAGTTGATTTTCAACTACCTTCACGATATCGTGCTGCATTATGAATGATTTTCTTTGTGGAGTATCCACATGTTCGGTATCTTGAGAATCATCGTGTTTAAGATAGATGAAAATATAATTTAAATAAATAAATCCGTCCCTCTTTCATAATCTGGACTTCCATCCATATGGAGAAACCGAATCGTAAATCCAACGTCCTAGGTACAAAAATTGACATGAACCTCTACTTTCAAATTTTGATCCTATGTCATGTTATAAGATTCTGACATTACACACTGTGAAAGGACTAATATCCCAAGAAACAATAAATAAAGAAACATCGGGTTGAGAACAGCCCTTATCTCATGTTACCCTCGCGTAAAACGTCAATCATGTCATATATCCGCTTGTCAGCTTTCGATTGAACCTGCATTCACGAGAAGACTTCATATACTGTATACAAACTGTGAAAACATGGTTACATGGCACAGAAGGGGGATATAACTAACCTGTTCGACTCATTGGTTTGAACAAATGGGATGCCAAAAAATGAGTTATACAACTATCACAAACTATCATGAACTATATTTACCTTCTTGGCAAGGAAAAGTATGGCATCAACCGTACCCTCTGCATAAATTGATCGTCCACAAACATTATGCTGAAACTCAAAGGAAACACTTCCAACAACAAAAAAATAAAAATAAAAAAAAACAGAAGAAATCATATAAGCAAATATTTGCTGCTCGGAAATACAACAGTATCATAACAATGTTGAAAATGAGGTGTAGTATATTACGTTCCATCAGGCGAAGTCAAATGATACATATGGAAAGCATGGCCTGATATATGCTCTTCTGGGACACCCACCATCTCAATTTGTAACTTGGGGTCACGTATTAGTTGAACCTAATTGGATTGATTGATAATAATTATCAGAAAATAAAAGTTGAAAGCTTGGAAACATCATATGATTCTATTTGTAACAGGAGTATGCTAATCTTTCCAAGATATCATCAATACAGGCACTCGACAACAAATTCACAGCAAAATCTATCATGATGGCAAGATGCAGGATCACAATGTACTCGCACTCCCCTGAGAAGATGCGGCAAAAAAAGACATCCACTTCATTGCAAGTTGATTGGTCCAGCATAAATGGAAGAATAAAACGAGAACAGGGTGATTCACTCTACAAAGAAGCGTGTAATTTCCTAGGCTTAGCACTTCAAACTATTTGAAAGCAGTCCTTTTAACTGCAGCAATTTCTGATAAAGCATCATGAACCAAGAATACATCATCAGCAACCAGGGCAGCTGGGCCTTTTAATCCCAGTAAACTCGTGTCAGTTATGTAATCATTTTTCACTTTTCCATTTGATCCAGAGCTACCACGCTTAAATGTCAAAAGAAACCAAATCTTTAGCAACCACCTCATGTCATAGTAATTTCACCATTTTAGCTCAGATCACTGGTCCAGTGTCAATGATATAAGCCAATTACATAGTTTTCCAGTGCCCCCCAATTTCCCAAGTCTTAACTATCCCGCTACTCTTTTCAAGAATGCATCTTGATCGCACCTCCAAAACCACTTCTGCCCTTGAACCAACAATCTCCTCACTAATGAATTTCATTTATCAGTGGGAACATATCAAAACAATTAATGAACTCCTACAATGTAGAAAAAATGAACCAGAAGAAAGGATGAGATAATTATGACAAGTAGAGAGCATTTACTAGCACCCTAAAATGTTGGACTTCATCAAATAATAACATTTTGGTACTTCAGCTGAGACTCTACAAGATGAAATGTATTTTGAACTCCTCAGTCCCGAGGCTTAATTTAATTTTTAAGTCTTCATCGAGATTTATAGTAAAATGTTTTTATTCACGCATTTACAAAGTTAAAAGCAGAAAACTTTGAAGCAAGAAACTTGCTAACTTTTCTTTGTGGTCAAAGTTGATTTATGCCTAATTGAGCAATAATTTCCAGAATAACTATGTTTTCATCCTTGAAAGGTGTGGGAAAAAAGAGATATTTCAATAATGTGTCTACAATGAATGAACACCCCAAACGCACCTGATCTATTTCAAAGGAGACTCCAAGTTTCTGAAAGCATGAGATGACAGCCTTAGCAGTTCCAGAAACATCCAATTTGCTGGCTTGATGGGACTCCATCACCTTATATATAAGTTTTACCGGGATTAAACGAGAGAGTGAGTTTACATTCTTACTTTCAACTTCAAAAATGACTAATCCAAGCATTACAAATTGGATAAAAGAACATGCTCAAATAAAATGGGAACTTTCTAATAAAACCGAAATATTATAATAAAGTTTTTGAGCTGCATTGTCTTATATTGCAATTAAGATATGGACACTAACTGGAAGGTACGGAAAATCAGTAAAAGAGAATACATCAGTGCATTCTCAAATTTACCTTTTCCATCATTCTACTAGACAATACATTCATACACATCAATGAACAAGTATATAGCTTATAATTAACTCCTTTATTTAAGGCGGAAGTGGATATTACTGGAGCTATCAACTGACGGTAGTGGTGGCTCAGGGGATCTATTACTCTATTTTTCCAGGTATGTTATTTGTATGCTAACAGGTGCACTCCTCTTCAGGCAAACACACACAGCCCAGAGGAAAAACTAATACGAAAGAAAGTTCAGTTCAATAAATTGTTGCCTATGGGGAAAAGAGCCTGTGAAAACTGTTGAATTTGTTTGTACTAAAATGAAGAGCAGGAGAAAATTATAATAAACTGTTAACCTAGAAAAGAAAATGACTATAGAGACTCAGACTATAGAGACTCACTTGTAAATGATACCCAAAGAAAGCTCCGGGAAACTGTTCTGCCATAATTTCCATGGCTGCAAGAAATGCTACCACCTAAAAGAATCGGCGAAACAGATTTTACAAATGCAAAATACAAGAAAACAATTGAGCATCATACATAATAAACTAAATAACAATTGCAAAGTTTACAGTACCTGTTTACCCATTTGTGGAGAGATCACAGCATAAACATTTGAGTTTTCAACAGTCTTATACAGCTGCTCCCTGTCTCCTCCAGTGGTTCCCATTACAAATGGCACTCCAACTTTGCAATACAGTGCAGCATTTTCTGTATACCACAAAACAAAAAGTGCACAAGCTATAACTTTGGATTCTTGCTACATAACAAAAGCATTTTGGAAACCAAGCTACATCTTTGCATTATACTATAAATCAACATATGCTAACCATTCACAGCAGCTGGGACCGTGTAGTCCACCACAATCAAATTTGGATATTCAGTTAAAACAGAAGACAGAATGTCTTCTCTTTGAGACGTGCCATGAATTTCAATCTCCTTTCCACCAATATCCACAATTTTCCCAGAATCTAATGGCCCACCTAACGCTACAGGAATGGGGTGAAGTCCAGCAGAGATAGCAGCTTCAAGAACAGCCCTCCCCATTTTTCCGGTACAACCATTTACCTGCACAAAATTATGATACAGAAATTATATAAGGAGCATCTGCATCACTAAAGATCGATTGTACAATATGTCATCTTTCTGTAAAAACTAACAATATCTTAACAATGATTCTGATCATAAATAGTTACAAATGTCAATATCTTCTTAAAATTTTAAAATTCTGAGGAAAAAAAATATATGTGTTGCAGGCGAGAAATATTCTATAGCAGCTCAAGTGATGACCTGTACAAATAGTAATAAATTTCATATATAGATGGAAAACAAAATTATTCACAAGTAAACAAGATACTCTGTTAAAAGACAACTTTAATGCATCATAATAAAAAATCCAATTGAGGGAACATCCAGCATGTCTCCTCAAAGCTCTATAATTAACTTGGCAAACCCAAAAGAATCCAAAATTAATAACAAAGGAGATGTTGGCAAATTCGGAAGGCATGGACTAGTTTGGTTTTGAAAAGGAGAGATTTTCTCTGGTCTCTACTAAATGCAGAAGTCATGCAACGGTTTGCAGGGATCATAATGGTTTCCTTATTGATGGAACTAACTCAGCCATCAAGTATTTTCAGCTAGGCAATCTGAGACACTGGTTGCTGAGTTTGCCTTGGCATAAGCCAAAAGGCGTGAAGAAGATTCAAATTAAGTATGATGCTCCTCCAAGACTAAGTGTCTCATTTAAATACAATTTTATTCACAAACTTGGCATAGTGGTACCAGAGAGGCACATTGAATTGACAATCAAGTAGTGTAAACTGTCAATATGCTTCCGATAATTAGCAAAAATATAAAATGATGTCATTTAATCAGTGTCATGAAATCCACATTCTAAATCCTAAATCTGCAAGTCGCTCATGTATGCAGACACTGCATTTCACTATTGAATACCTACTCGGACCCAGGACTACGCAGGATCATACAAGACATATCCGTGTCTCTTATCCCTGAGGTCTCAATGACAGAATGTACAACTTTCAACACTTGATGTACCGTGACAAATTGACTTCAAATAAAAATCACAAACCGAATTGAAAAAAATGGAAATTTATCATAAGTAAAAATAAAATTGGAGAAAATCAACAAAGCTTGATATTACCATAATAGGGAGCCCAAGATTTTGCGAGGTAGATTGCACCGGAGAGCTTTCCATCGCAACCAAAAAATTTCTCCTTTTGGAAACATTTACACGGACATTACTGCTTGATGATCTTCCACAAGACCATGGAATAAGCATACTCTTGTGTTGCTGAGCAGCCAAAGCTGCATTCAATGGAAGTTTAATCATGAGCTCTGTTGATGATTGTACAAAAGCCTCCGTGCTCGGTTTGGGGTTTTACAGTATATCCTTTCCCTTCTCTATTTAGACAAATGAATTTTCTTTGCAAAAGAGTTTATCATTAATGGATTTTATTTTATTTTATTTTATTTTTTTCCCAAAAAGCCAATGTTTTGGGTTGACAATGAAACACTCTGAAATCTTGAAACTGAAAATTAATTAGTTGACCATATCTATTAGACAAACAAATTGAATTTTCTTTACAAAGAGTTTATTATTAATGATTTTTTTATTTTTAAAAAGGCCTATGTTTTGGGTTGACAATGAAACCCTCTCGTAGAAATCTTGAAACTGAAAATCAATTAGTTGACCATATCCCGCACGCAGGTCTCGTTAAAGTCTATAGCATTTTCAATGGTGGTATAAAATTGGACATAAATTGACATTTTCAAAATCAATTTTGCATTTCTATTTACATTCTAATGAGTTTAAATTCAATTATGCTCCAATGAGAAGATCTAAAAAAATTGACTACGAGTGAGTTAATAGTTTTTTGCCTCTTGTAGGTTCTACAAGTAGATCTAAAAAGGATGTAAATTCACATCCTTCCTTTTTCTTTTTCTTTTTTTTGGGGGCAAAAAAAAAATGCACTTTGCATTTCTCTATTGGAGATATATTCGACCACTTTGAAGATCTAAATTACAATTTAGATTTAATTTAGAGCACAATTGGAAATGCTCAACGCAACTTTTAGATATAAATAACGTTATTAAAAATATCTTCTTCTTTTTTTCTTTTTTCTTTTTTTGAAAATCTATTATCCATTACCATCCCCATCCTTCGATTGCTCTACTCTACTTGAAAATGAGTTTTAAAAACTCCTCAGCATTTTTCAAAGGTCCTTCATAGATATGAAATTTCTTCTTGTTGAAACAACGATTTTGTAATTAAAGAGCTAGAAAATACTCCATATCCATGAATTTGTAAAATTACCTTAAATTGAAGAGAAGAAATTTAGCACGAAGATTCTTTTTGGTCATTGCAAATGGCATGTTCATTAGCCTCATGGAACAGCCCAGAATAGTTTCCAGTCGTGGGTCAATCCTCTGGCATAGGACCCTTTTTACGGATTTGTCTTGGCTAGATTCGCGAATCGTCATGGACTAATTCTTTAACAAGATTGGGCCATACTGGTTCATAACATGAATGACCAGTTCGAATGGACACACATCATTTTCTGACACAATTTCTATATGTCCTATTCTGAACAAATAGCATAATCCTAGTAGTGTTGACAGGTTACATTGAAATTTCGATCTCATAGTTTCTACGGGTGGAGATGATTAGCTCGGTCCATGGATTTTCCCAAATAAATTTAGTCTCATGCCAAAAGATCACAAGGACCCCTCATCTTGGGTCCCTACGAGGATGAAGCGATAGAAATTTTAAGAATTCAAGAAAAGGTCATGACGAGATAACCTATAGTGGCATTGAATTTCTCGATTCTTTGATTTAGGATTAGTCAGTTCTATTTCTTGATGGAAGCGGTGAAGGGATATAATGACACTAGTTTTGTCGACGACATCAACTCTTTGGTGGTCAATCATTTCCTACGGAGCTAGTGTTGATGGGGTTCAAACGTTGCGAACTCGAAAGTATCTTGAACTTAGAGTACTATGATTTTCTATAGTTGCTATGGGGTAAATGTAAGCTTTTTCACTTTTATATGTTCAATGCATGATGGAGCGCTTTGTGTAGAATTTCACACTTGGCCTCATTTTTCAGCTATTCCAGGCCAAGTATATGCACAAGTCCAAAAAATTTGTCACTGTTGGGTTTTTGATACCCAATAATCCCGGACGATGATGTTAAACAGTGTCGGATAGTCGGATTAGATTTCATAGGCTTCGGCCGATGATTGAAATATTTATTAACACACTCGATTAATTGGCTCAACCCGAAAAACAACTTGAGGGTCGTTTGAAGCAACTTAATATAGTTAATGTTGCTCACGGCCCCTTTACTTCTTGGATGACTCAATTTGTGTTCTCCCCCTTTAACCATTAGTTGGTCCATGAGCCCATTGTATTATTATACCCTAAACCTATATATTGCTCTCATTTGTGAATAGGAGCCGTGTGTGTTTTGCAATTGAAAAGAGGAGCCGACATTTTTCTCTAGTTTTCTCTCTTGAACCTTAAATCGAATCGATCTTCCTCTATTCTTGGTGATTCATTGCAGCCACCATATTGTGTTCTTTGTGAACACATTGACTTGAGCAACTGAAGTAAGAATCGTGATTGTTTGGGCTGGAGCCATTGTTGGGTGTGTTTAATAAGATAGAAATTGGTGAAACTGAGTCCGAAAAATCCACCATCGAAGGTCGATTGTTCAACATTTGGTATCAGAGCGAGGTTGGGGTGGAATTTTCGGCCAAAATCCGACCAGAAAACCGGCAGAAATCAGAAAATAAAAAACTGTCCAGAATTTTTTCCAAAAATGGGATCTGCAACTTCAATTTCCGGAGAATCCAGACGTCTTTTGGTGAAACGGAGGCCGGATTCGTGATCTGCAGGTGGAGGCGGTGCTAGGTGGCCGGCGCGTCTAGGTGACGACAGTCGGCGACGACGGCGCGTGGCTTCTCTGGCGGTGGCGCGTGCGGGCGCGTGCGGCCGTTTCTGGGGAAGCTTTCTTCAGGCAGTTTGTTCCTCATATTATTTCTAACATTTTTCGTGTTAGAAGTTTTCTGTTTCAGGTTACACAGAAAAGGTTGGACGATTTTGCCCCTAGAAATCGAACTGCATTTCTTAGCGGGTTGCACGGTTATATTTGCTGAATCTTTAGGACGAATAGTGGTGGTCCTAAAGCAGCAGATTCGCATCTCTCTCGATTATACAGATTCAGATACGTCCGCTCTGGTAAATTGGCTTAACCCGTTAATTTTAGTATTAGCGCGTCACCGTGTGGGGTGACAATAGGTTGGGGGTTGTCATTACTTGGCAGCCATTGCTTGTGCTAGAAATTTGGATTACTTGCTCTTAATTATTGCGATTGAGTACTTATTTTTGAATAAATTAGCGCATTGTGCTTTGTGCTAAAATTGTTGTGAAATTTCATTTGATTGGATATACCTATTTTGTTGCATCGTAAATTTCGCTGTGTTATTACTTTCGTTAGAATACCAAGACCTTACTCATTCAAACGTTCCCTTGATCTAAGATCGCGAGTCTTACGAAACCCTGAGAATCTAGAACGGTGTATACAGGCTGTAGGATTACTTTGTATGATCTATTTGCCTAATTGATTGTTTCGTTTTTCAAAAATGTCTTTACATTTCGAAGTTGGTATTTTCAATGGAAAATGTGATTTTTCAATCTGGCAACAAAAAATGAAGGGTATTTTAGTCCAACAAAAGGTTTCAAAAGCCATTGAAGGCAATTTTCCAGCTAATTTTTCAAAAGACTAAAAAGAAGAAGCCGATGAGTTTACTTATACCTCAATCATTTTACATCTGTCTGACGCTGTTTTGAGAAAAGTAGGAAAACTGAAAACCACAAAAGACTTTTGGAAAAAGTTGGAAGATCTATATTTGCTTAAATCCACTCCGAATAAACTTTATCTTCTTGAGCGTTTCTTCAGTTTTAAAATGGATCCTTCAAAGGATCTTGATGACAATTTAGATGTTTTCAATAAACTTGTCCAAGTTATTGTTAACTGTGAAGAAATCATATCTGAAACCTACAAGGCTATAATCTTGCTTAATTCTATGCCTGAGTCATATAAGGAAGTTAAAAATGCCATTAAGTATAGTAGGGATACATTGAATCTCGAGATTGTCGTAGACTCACTTAGGAGTAAGGAGATGGAAATGAAAGTTGAAAATGAAGATAAGAGAAGTGATGAGTTACACATGATAAGGAGTGGGATGAAGTTTAAGAAAATGAATTTGGGTAGAGTTCAAAATAGTGGTAATTCAAGTAGTGACTCGAGAGATGAAGGTGGTAAGATGAAGGGCAAGGGACGGGACAAGTATGGTGGTAGACGATGTTATAGTTGTGGTAAGTCTGGACACTTTATTAGGGATTGTCCCAAGAAGAAGGATAAGCAGAAAGGTTATGTGAGAGGTGAGACGAATGTGGTTGAGGGGTCGAGTTATGACCCCAGTGAGGTTTATTGAGAGAGTAAACCCAGTCACTGCATATGCATCTGTGTGTGATCCTTTCAACATGTGTGTGATTGCCTAATTTGTTGTATGACTATATGTTGCATTTCAATTTGTTTGATATGTGTGTTTGCATGAATTTGAGGTAATGTGATTACTTGGTGTGATCGTTTGCATGCATAATGGGTTAAGATGCATTAGCAGTGTGTTAGATGTCTTTTGGTAAGGTGAAGTATAAATGCCTAGGGATACATGGTGATTTGTACCGGGGGATGTGGAGTGTGACATTTGGATCACGAGTGGAGATGTGATCAAATGTGTAGAATCCTTTATCTGTGAAAGAGACCCTGTACAGGTGGAGTGCGAGAGATGCACTTCTATCAGTTCTGTAAGGTGGAGTCCCATTATCCACGTAGGTTAGGAGAAGTGATGTGGTGATAGAGGATTATTCCTGAACTTAGGATTTATTGTGACTTGCCATTTTGAAATGAGTTGTGTAATCTATTTAGTGAGCATGGTGGGCGATGAGAGGAGATATGTGTTCTCGAGGTGGGAGTAACACGAAATGGGATAGGATAAGTGTGGTGAGATCTTTCATGAGGTCATTTATGCATTTGTTGTATATGTGTTTGACCGTGTGCTGATTAACTTGGTGTTAATCTTTAATTCTGTGTGAACGTGAATTTGAAAAGATATGTGTGATTATCCTATATAATATCTTTATCGCATGATTAGTTGTTTACTGTAAATACTTGTTTCTACCTGGGTGTTTTTTGGACTTTAGCCCCGGTGAGTACATGGAGCAGGTATGGTGTGTGTTTCGGTTCGAAACACGAGGTAAGGTCTGAGATACCAATTTTATTGGATTACCTTGATTGTGAAAGTTTAAACTTTGTGTTTTGGTTACTTGCAGATTATTGGGCATTAAGGTGGAGATTGTTGGGTTTTTGATACCCAA